CATTTTCTCTATACAATCCAGAGAAGGGGACTTGTCTAGCTTAGGAGTTTGTTTTAAAATGTTTTTTCCTGATTTCAATCACTACTGTCTTGAGTGTTGACTGAACTTTCCTCATGCCTGCGAAGTCTCCCATCTAAGGCAGGCCTGCTCTTCCAAACAGTATATCCTGACTCAGGAGTCTACCCTAGTATAAAAAAGGACCAAGGCGCTCTGCTCCCCCTGAAGGGCTTATTTCTCCCGAGAAGTCAGTTCATGAAGAAGACTTTGCATCCCCTGTTCTTTGCTAGTTTCATAGAAAAGTATTATTTTTCTTTTGTGTGGATTTTATTACTATGGAAGTGAAAGTCTTTTGCATCCTTCTACATTCTAGCAAAAAGTTGTGCAGATATTTATTATAAGTCATGTAATGTTCACTTGCAGCTTTATAGCTTCCAGTCGCAGTTGTGAAACTCTTATTAACAGAGAGAGTGTGCTAGAGAGCACACGCATAGTGTAGCCTTGGGCAAAATCTCTTTGTGTTTGTGGGCATCTGTTCCCTTATCTGTAAATAGAAATCATAATGTATACCTTCTGTGGTTGTTTTAGGCATCATATGAAAACGCTTTGGGAACTAGGAAGTCTATAGGTTGTCATGTCCTTAGGGAAGTCATCTCACATTTCTGGGCCTCCATTTCCTTATCTGTTCAATAATGGAGATGCTGAAATAGATGTGCTGTAATTTCCCATCCCGATTTTCACTAAACAGCACACTGATGCACCACTGCCCGTGCTGATAGACATTTTGGGTCCTTAGCAATACTGACTTAATAATCGGAACTTTAAACTGGCGACTCTCTTAGGTACTGTCGGGTGTCAGCCTTATAAATAGACTTGTTTTAATAGACATATAAATTATAAAACATGGCATTAGGTAGGCAAGTCATAGACACTTCCATGTATTTGGAGTTTCTGCTTATTAAATGTGTTTCTTTGGCTCTTTTGAAGCTGTAAGCTCTTCCTTGGTTGTTTACTTTGAATATCCAAAGATCTGGTATTTTATATAATTTTTTTTAATATAATTTGAGGATAAGATGTGGGGTACAACCTCTTTAGTAGTTGATGGAATTATCTTCCATAAATGTAGGTTCTTCTCAGGGAATACATTTATAGAGGCCATTCTTTTAACTAGCTTAAAAGACCAGATCAGCGTTGGAGTTGTTTACATGAAAGTAGGCCATTATTGGGGCTTCCCTGGTGGCTCAGATGGTAAAGAATCTGCCTGCAACGCAGGAAACACAGGTTCAATCCCTGGGTCATCCACTGCAGTATTCTTGCCTGGAAAATTCCATGGACAGAGGAGCCTAGAGATCCACAATCCATGGGCTGCAGAGAGAAGTGACTGAGCACAGACACATAGGCCATCATTATTTCAACCTGTGCTGATCTGAACTGTACCTTTGAACTATTTATGGAAAGCATGCTTATGCAATAAATCAAGGTTTTTCTTTACCTCCCATAAATGTGTGTAATATGTTTTATGGTATATAAGAACTTTCACAAATGTTATTTAGTAAAATAAGTGCAGAGCAGGTTTGAGTTTCTGAAACAAGCCAACCATATGGAAGAACTTTACTAAATAAAGTTTGTATTACTGATGCCAGCAATTACAAATATATGTTATGACATTTAAAAAGCTGTGCCCATTTGTGGCTTATATATTTGAAAGTAATAAAATTGTGTTATTTTTTAAAAACATTCTGTAATTTAGATTTCTAATTGAAACTGGTCTTCCCTACAGTTAATCCAAATTAGTAAATCTATGGATACGGTAATAGCTTGGCAGGGAGGGGTGAGTACATGAGTAACAAAAGATAAGGCATCGAAAAACTATTTAATAGAAGACTCACCTGTAAAAGATTAGTTTCTCAGTTTGTCAAGACTTCTTTACATTATCACTCTTTTCCTAGCTCCATAAAAAAAGTATTTACTTTGTCTGGGTTTTCTTTATCAAATTAAAATGTCCAAACTCTAGACAGTGGCCCATTTATTTTAGTAATAATTTCAATAAAATTAAAATAATAAGCAAAAAAAATAAGCACCTTTGGAGTGAATTGCTTATGTATGTCACTTTAATCATTGGTAAGTATGTATAATGAATGGCCCAATAATAGTTAATATTGACCAAAGAATTAAATGCATGCCATGGGGAAGGAAAAATTAGTGGTTTACTCTTTCAGTAATCTGTAGTTAATTCTTGATGATTCATGCATTATTGGTAATGGAAATAGAAATTAGAAAATAGAAATAGAAAATAGAAACCTGTATCATTCAAAATCTCAAAGACAAAAGCTGCACTATGTTCCATCAAACAAAAACAATTGATTGTTCTTATGCTCACCTGATTTCCTGATTACCTTCCTATTAGGAAAGTATGTTGAAGATCTATACTAGACCTAAAAGGTAATAGGAAGAAGATGAGGAAAAAACAAAAGTGAACTTACTGTTCTCAAATCACTAAGATGTGTTTCTTTTTGCAAGAAAGATGGGTTGGAAAGGAATCTTGTAGGCTTGATATAAATGCAGATTGGTGTAAGTCCACCACGATCTGAGCAAATGAGTGATTCACGTGTGCCTTCCACACAGCCCTGTACAGTCTGGCCTACTCCCTCAACACCACTTCTGTCTTTATCTACTTGCACATTCCCTGCTCTACTTTGTCCAGGAGCCAGCAAGTAAAGATCTAGAGAGAAAGAGGAAGTGGTAACAAAGGCATGTTTGATTTGGCTATTATTCCAGTTTTTTTTAGAGTGAGTTCAGGAACAGAAATTTGCATGAAGCCTTCGAGACAGAGACAGAAGAGACAAAGGGACTCTAGGAAGAAAGGAACCCCAAATCTGCAGGCCTGTATCAAGGCTACTGAAAGTCGGGGTGGAAACAGCTAAGCTTTCTGCCTACACCAGCAGCAGCTGCTGAGGTGAGTGGAGCAGTGGGTGCTGTGGAAAAGCATAGCTACTTCTGACCCCGCTGGAACTGCTCATTGGAGGCATTTTGAAGAAAAGGGAACGAATTAAGGAAAACTGAAAGGTCACCAGATCCCGCTGCATTGAAATCCCAGGGTGAGGTCTTGAGGAGCTGCAGTGTTGGCTGGGATCCTGTGCCTTCATGTCGAGAGCACAGTTTAAAAATGACACAAACAGAGGTAAACAGCCTCTTAATTATGGTCTGAAAGAGTTGCTGTTTCTCTCCAATTTCACCAACTCACAGGGGCTTCAACCAACACATATCAACCAGTCCTTGAAAAGATAGGCAGGAAAGACAGCCTTTATCTTGGAAATTTATTAAGAATAAGCATCAGTTGTACAAAGAAATAGTCATTTGCACTAAGTACTACTCAAGCAGAAGAGCAGTTTTAAATATATTAAAAACTCACAAAATATATTGATTAAGGCACTACATTGTTTCATGTTTTCAATAAATATGCTGTTTTTAAAAAGGCAGTAGGACCTCTGATTACATGAATATAGGCACTATAATACTATTAAAGACAGTCATACTTTGCTGTGGCCATTGTGATTTATTTCTCAAAAGAAGTTTCATTAGCTTGGATTAGCATTTTCTTTAAAAAAAAAAAAAAAGAAAAAAAAAATCACAGTTTTCTCTTTCCAGAGTCTCTTCCAGAGAGACGTATGTACAAAAGGTACTATTTCTTCATATATTCCTAAGCAACAAGGAATTACGCATAAGGGGCCAGATCGCCTCCCAGAGAGTAAAGCCATCAGAGGTTGGATGTCTCTGAACAGCATGCTGAGTCTTTAGAAAAGGTTTTTTTTTTTCCAACTGTAATAAAGTCAGCTGGGTTTTAAAAACTGGACCTTTCAGCAATCCAAGAAGACTTCTTGGTGAAGTGCCCTGTGTTAGGGAGTTTAGGTGAGCAGTTGACAGGAACCAGACCCAGCTCCTGTGTTGCACAGTGTAGACAGTATCCGCCTGAGTCAGGAGAGCTGGGTGCGCCTTCAGTGCCACCAGCAAAAAATGCCAACTTGGCACTTTAGTTACAGTGCGCTCAGCAAGCCTGAGAGCTTGTGCATAGTCTTAGTCTGGTCACTGTAAGATGAAAAGGTTGGACTTTCCCTATGTTTTTGTCCGGTTCCAGCAGCTCAATAGTCTGATGGGTCTGAATCGTGTCTGGTCACAGCCGATGCCCCTGCAGTTAATAGGCGCAGCATCTCCGTAGAACACAATGACCACAGCAAAGAGGAGAAAAGTCTCCACAACATTGCCAGATTGAGGCCTGAGTGCAAATCTTTCCATCAAAGCCCTGTATGTTATTTAATTAACAGTCACCATTTAATTAAAAGTAACTGTTTAACTGGAGTTCTGTTATTCACAGGAAAAAAGACTTCTCTTATTAGACAATGTAATTTTCGTGGCAGAACTAGGTTGCATATCTGAGATTAACTTCACATTTTCACTCATTGGGTTTCTCCAGTCAGGTCATACATCAGCACAGAAGAGACTCAGCATTAAGGCTGGATTCGGGCATGAGGGAAACCAAAGGAGAATCTTGACGTGAGCAACCCCTCATTTAGGGTGAGATTTTCTTTTGTTTTCATTGACGGCTATATAGGAAGCTGCCCATCTGATTTCTTCTCCTGGTATATGACATGGGAGAGTGCAAGTTGGCAAGACTTCAGCTGGAAAATATGCTTTACTTTTTGGCAAGTAAAGGAGACACATGGTCAAAGCTTTAAAAAATCTAGGAGCTACTGCTCAGATGCAGTAGAAAAGTAATTTCATTCTGAAAAGATAATATTTCTTTTACCTGCCAAAGTTTGGTCTTCAGTTTTACTATATATACTGTATATATACCACACATACTGTGTGTGGTATATATACAATATATATATATATATATAAATTAAATGAATCAATCATTGAGAAGCAATAGAAAAGTATCTGATCACAAAAATAGAAAAAGAAATCAAAGAGCAATTCAAAAAGAAACTGGCTCTGAAGGACATCTAGTTGTTCTTCTCCAGGGACGCATAATAATCTGTCAGGATTTTCCACGCTTTGGGGGCCATGAAGCCATCTGGGGGATTCTCGCCTTCCTGGGCCAGCTTCCTCATACGAGTTCCTGAGATGAAGTCAAACTCGTTGTGCCTGTCACAGGGTAGCAACAAAGAACTCAGCATAGGTAAATAACATCTACCTCAAAGACCGCAGGAGGATGTTATGGGTTCTGAGACTGTATTTTTTTCTTTCTGTAAAATGCTGCATCTTTCTAAGTTAAATGGTTCAGTAAATCTTCAGTAAAGGAACTTGCAGAAGACCTGGAAATCGCAGCAGCTGTGCAGTCGGCGCTCACTGCACCTCAGCTCATGGGGCATGTCATCTGTAGCTCTGACTACTTGGTGAGCTCTGAGCATGGTTGAGTGCTCTATTAACACATGAAACCTTTTTCCATGTATACAACCCTTTCATGTAATGTGCCAGGCACTCAAAGCGTGCCCAAGGAGTGTGTGTTGGGAAGGAAATACTTAAGGACCGTCTACCGCAAATGGGGCTGTGCTGCGACACTGGAGCACACACAATGTACACGACCAGGTCTGAGCTTACAAGGGACTGTCAGTCCAGCCAGGGGCTTTCCCAGAATTTCCTCTCACCATTCCAGCTGTACAAATGTTGATTAAAGAATTTTCCTTTATTACCTCATGATACAGAGATTTTAGAAAATAAAGGCATTTCAAAGTTAATATTTTTCCTCAGAAAACCTACCTTTCTGAATCATAGAAGTCCATGGCTTTCTTGGCCTTGTTGTAGGCAGCCACTCGGAATGGAATGATTTCCACAGAGGTGAGGCCAGGGGCCATGGTCAAGACCTTGCCCCCATGAGTGGGTTCATACAGGTCTTTCTTGGTCTCAGGATGGGGCATTCCTGCAGGGTCCCGGCCCACAATATAGAAATTGGCCCCTGCAACCATCCGGGCCCTGCAGTGCCACTGGACCTAGGAAATATCACATCAAGGACATGCTGATCGTCACTGGCCAATCCTTTGGGCCCAGGTTTATGGAGACATCCCTTTATTCTGCTTCACAAGTAATTCAGCAATGTGGGTCAACTAATAATTGCAAGAAAGTCAGTGAGGTGTCCAAGACTGCTCTTATCTCATCTGTATTGTCCTACTGGGAAGAATATAGGAGTTTTTGGAAAAGGAAATGGCAACCCACTCCAGTATTCTTGCCTAGAGTACTCCATGGAAACTGGAGCCTGACAGGCTACATTCAGTCCATGGGGTCACAAAGGGTCAGACATGACTGAGCAATTAACATAGGAGCTTTAAAGATAAGAACCTTCCCTCTTAGAACCTGGGGTTATATTTCATAATCTCTCCAGACTAACAGATTACAAACACTCAGATCTTACTATTCCACAGAACTATGTGAATTTTACTTTTCAGTTCCTCCCTATTCAAAATAAATCACAGTTTAAGGGAAATTACAAACTCCAATCTCTTACCATGGAATTCCATGTGACTGCCAGTAATGAGCTAATTAAACTTCATATGCAGACATTGATTCCATTTCAACACAGCATTGGGATTTCAAAACAAGTTCTCTTTCAAGCTCAGAGCAGACAGGGAAGAGAGCTAGGGGCCTGGAAATTTGATCTGGTTGAAGATACTTTGTTAAACTCACCTTGGAGCATTCCAAAGTGTTACGACCTTTTCAGTTCATTCTTACCGCAAACTTGTTCATATCCACTACACTGGTGGTGCTGTGCAACAAAGAAAGTCTGTTTGACAGGCCCAGTGTGTTATGGTGAAAGGGAGACATTAAGCTTTTAAAGATACCCTCTCCCTTCTAATGTAGCTCACTGAGCATGGTGAATCACTTAGGAGTAAGTGGTAACTGCTGAAATATTAGGCTAAATACATCTTGCCCTATAACCCAGGTAAGCTGTATTATCCACCTCATTCACATACCAACTTTCAGAGTCTCAAAGGCAGTGTATGATAGGTTTGATTTGATGTTGCTAGTATTTTCACAGATGAAAAGTATTAGTGGCTCAGTCGTGTCCAACTCTTTGCAACCCCATGGACTGTAGCCCGCCAGACTCCTCTGTCCATGGACTTCTCCAGGCAAGAATACTGGAGTGGGTTGCCATTCCCTTCTCCAGGGGATCTTCCTGACCCAAGAACATGGGTCTCTTGCATTGCAGGCAGACTCTGAGCCACCAGGGAAGCCCCACAAATTCTATATGGAAACAATCAGATCAGATAAAGAAAAGAGACCAAAAGATGTCAGAATCTGCTCATAAAGAAGAATCCCAGAAGTGCTCTTGCTTTTCTGAAACTTGACCCTGCACCTGTGAGTCCCAGAGCCCAGCTCAGGGAACTGCTTACCTCTGTGGGGCCAGCATATAACATGGGAGATGGGAAGATGGCAACAATGGTTGACTTGGGATCAAGAACCTCTTCTTCAAGCACAGCTGCATGTTGTTTCATCCGCCAATCCAGGGGCACATCATCATCCTTGGTCCAGCCACCCAGGGGGTGGAGCAGCAGGACCGGGTGCTTGTAGCCTCTCTCCAGGAGCCGGCGGCGGGTGTCTTGCATCAACAGAGCATGGCCATTGTGGACAGGATTGCGCAACTGGAATGCAAACACTGCATCTGGAAAATGAAAGCAGAACACCAAGATCAAAGACATGCAATGCCTTCAAGAACAGAAAAACGCAGCTGTGTTTATTGTTCAGTGCACTTGTTATATCCACTTGCTTTTTCTTCTATTTTTTTATTTAAATTAAAAAAAAATTTTTACAATATTGTGTTGGTTTCTGCCAAACAACAATAAAATCAGTCATAATTATACATTCGTCCCCTCCACCACCACCACCCCCCCCCCCCAATCCCTCCAGGTCCATCACAGAGTGCCAGACTGGGCTCCCTGTCCTACACAATAACTTCTCACCAGATATCCATCTTACAACTGATCATGTATATATGTGATGCTACTTTCTCCATTCATCCCACTTTCTCCTTCCTCTACTGTGTCCACAAGTTCATTCTCTACATCCACATATCCATCCATTCCTTTCCTGCAAATAGGTTCATTGATACCATTTTTCTAGATTCCATATATATGCATTAATATACTATATTTGCTTTTCTGACTTCACTCTGTATTGCAGGCTTTAGGTTCATCCACCTCACTACAGCTGACTGAAACCCTGGAGAAGATGTGGGGAAAAGGGAACCCTGCTACACCGTTGGTGGGAATGTAAACTGATAGAGCCATTATGGAGAACGGTATGGAGATTCCTTAAAAAAAACTAGGAATAAATATACCATATATGACCCAGCAACTCCACTGCTTGGTATATACCATGAGAAAAATCATAATCGAAAAAGACACATGTACCCCAATTTTCATAGCAGCACTGTTTACAACAGCCAGGACATGGAAGCAACCTACATGTCCATTGACTCATGAATGGATAAAGAAGACGTGGTACCTATATATAATGGAATATTACTCAGCCATAAAAAAGAACAAATTTGAGTATATCCACTTGCTTTTAAGAACCAGCTGGAGAAGCGCCTGGATCTTTAGGGGTGTTACTCCAAAGGTACCAACCAGTACCAGACTTTTTAGACAGGGATAGGACACAGGAAGCCCTAAACAGAGAGCCTGACTCAGAAATGAACACATTAGTTGCCAAGACCTTTCTTACAAACCACAGCTCAGGCAGTGGCTGGTATTGATCCATCCCCTTGTGCCCTGCTCCAGCCTCATTTTCCTAGGGTGTGAATATTGATGAGGAATATTTTCTGGAATCAGCAAAATCTTAACAACTTAAAGATATAAAAACATTTCTTCACTTTATAGAAATCTTCAAAACTTAGTGGTGAAGTCCTGGGAGGCTTAATTTTTCTTTTTGGTTATGAAATGGATTAATGTACATCCATTATACAAAACTCAGGAAATACAGAAAAGCCCAAAATAGAATATGAAAATCATCCATCATCCTATCATTACTTTTTTCTCTCTTTTTCAAAATACGTAAAGTGAAAATCTTCCCTCCCCCTTGGCCCCACTTTATCCCTAGAGGTAGTTGCTGTCATCGGCAGGTTGGGTCACATGTTGCCAGATGTTTCCACTTCTACACACAGAAGTAGGCTTGGCTTTTATTTTATTTTATTTTTCATTTATTTTTATTAGTTGGAGGCTAATTACTTTACAATATTGTAGTGGTTTTTGTCATACATTGACATGAATCAGCCATGGATTTACATGTATTCCCCATCCCGATCCCCCCTCCCACCTCCCTCCCCACCCCATCCCTCTGGGTCTTCCCAGTGCACCAGGCCTGAGCACTTGTCTCATGCACCCAACCTGAGCTGATGATCTGTTTCACCCTTGATAGTATACTTGTTTCAATGCTGTTCTCTCGAAACATCCCACCCTCACCTTCTCCCACAGAGTCCAAAAGTCTATTCTGTACATCTGTGTCTCTTTTTCTGTTTTGCATATAGGGTTATCATTACCATCTTTCTAAATTCCATATATATGTGTTAGTATACTGTAATGGTCTTTATCTTTCTGGCTTACTTCACTCTATATAATGGGCTCCAGTTTCATCCATCTCATTAGAACTGATTCAAATGAATTATTTTTAATGGCTGAGTAATATTTCATGGTGTATATGTACCACAGCTTCCTTATCCATTCATCTGCTGATGGGCATCTAGGTTGCTTCCATGTCCTGGCTATGATAAACAGTGCTGCGATGAACATTGGGGTGCACGTGTTTCCTTCAGATCTGGTTTCCTCGGTGTGTATGCCCAGAAGTGGGCAGTTCTATTTCCAGTTTTTTAAGAAATCTCCACACTGTTATCCGTAGCGGCTGTACTAGTTTGCATTCCCACCAACAGTGTAAGAGTGTTCCCTTTTCTCCACACCCTCTCCAGCATTTATTGCTTGTAGACTTTTGGATAGCAGCCATCCTGACTGGCATGTAATAGTACCTCATTGTGGTTTTGATTTGCATTTTAAAAGCAATTATCCCATTTTACTTTGTTTTCCAAGATTATTCTATACATACTGTTCTGAAATTTGCTTTTTCACTTAACAAATATACTTTGGTTATCTTTCTGTGTCAGTGTATTTTTTTTTTTAATAGCTGCATAATATTTTAGTAGTTCAACTTTATAAGCTTTCCATATCTTTATGATTGGAAGCTTTAAGCTTTATGATTTCCATATCAATAGACATAACAGACGATGAAGGTTTTCAACTTTTCAAAACTATAAACATGCTGTTTCCTGATATCCTTAATTCTGTAAGCAGAGGATGGTTAGGAGTATTAACAAATGCAGGAGAGTCAGCCTACATACCAGCATCCATTTCTTTACACTTTTGTTTGAGCTCCAGAGGTGTCAGGCGGTATTGGTCCAACCCATCATTCCACTGTATTCTTTCCAGCACCTGAAGGTCACCACCAACCAGCCAATCCCCGCTTTCCATCACCATCTAGAAAGAATTTATTAAAATTCTTAGTGATCCATATTGTTTTCTATTTTATCTAAGAAAGTGTCTTCTTCTGAACCAATCTTGGGCTACTTGAACTAACTGCTTTCAGTTCTTCAACATTTCTAGCACAGTATATATCAAACTTTTTGATTTCTCAAATCCTTTATACTCTTAAAAATTATTGAGGATAAATGAACTTTTTAAAAAATACTGATTATATCTATCATTATTTTCTGTTTTAGAGATTAAAAGTGAGAACACTTAGGGCTTCCCTGGTAGCCCAGTGGTAAAGAATCCACCTACCAATGCAGAAGACATGGGTTCCGCCCTTGATCGGGGAAGATGCCACATGCCCTGGAACAACTAAGCCTGTGCGTGCACCTGTGCTCTGGAGCAAATGAGCCGCAACTATTGAGCCCTAGAGCCTGTTCTTCACAACAAGAGACGTGAAGTGAAGTGAAGTCGCTCAGTCGTGTCCAACTCTGCAACCCCATGGACTGTGGCCTACCAGGCTCCTCCGTCCATGGGATTTTCCAGGCAAGAATACTGGAGTGGGGTGCCATTTCCTCCTCCACCACCACAAGAGAAGCCACTGCAATGAGAAGCCTGGCACTGCAACTAGAGAGTAGCCCTAACTTGCTGCAACTAGAGAAAGCCTGCACACAGCGATGAAGACCCAGCACAGCCAAAAATAAAATTATTTTTAAACCAACTGAGAACCCTTAAAAATATTTACTGACCTAAAACTAACAATAGTAAAGTCATTAAATATTAGCATAAACATTTTATTATTTGGTGAAAAATATTTTCCAAAAATATAAGTGAAAAGTAGCATTGTTTTATACATTCGCAAATCTCTTCATTATCTGACTTAATAGAAGGCAGCTGGATTCTCATATCTACTTTTTCACTTATTCTATGGTAATATGTTATTTTGGCTGAAACAGGTAAAGAAAAATCAGCTTCAGGTAGGTGGTTGGAAAAGGGAAGAGTACTTGAATAGCCATTTTGTATCATTGTGGATATTCTTTGTTGATATAAAAAATTAAAGAACCAAATTTAAAAATCAGCAAAGAACTTGAACAGGCATTTCTCCCAAATATGATGTACAGATGGCCAACAGGGATATGAAAAGATGTCCAACATTGCTAGTTATTGGAGAAATGCAATCTCACACCTATTAGGGTGGCTACTATCACAAACAGAAAGTAACAAGGGTGGGCAAGGATGTGGAGAAGTCCCTCATGTACTGTTGGTGAGATTATAAAATGGTGTATCAGTATGGAGTTTCTTCAAAAAATTAAAATGCAACTGACACATGATCTGATAATCCCATTTCTGGATATATATCCAAAAGAATTAAAAGCAATGTCTCACAGAGATTTGCATATCCATATTCATAGTAGTGCTATTCACAATAGCTAAAAGGTGGATGCAACCCAGATCTCTCTCGAAAGATGAACCAATGATGAACATGAATGTCATGCATATGATGGAATATTATTCAGACTTCACAGCAAAGGAAACCCTGTCACAGGCTACAACATGGATGAAACTTGAAGACATTAAGCTAAGTGAAAAAGCAATTCACAAAAGGATAAATACTGCATTTTTCCACTTACATGAGGTATCTAGTCAAATTCATAGAAAATAGAATGGTTGATACCAGGGGCTGGGGAGAGAAAAGGAGACTTGTTATTTAATAGGTACAGAGTTTCAGATTTTCAAGATGAAAAAAGTTTTGGAGATCTGTTTTAAAAGGTGAATTGCTTAATACTACTGAATTGTTGTTTAGTCTCTATACGTTATACCTGACTCTTGCAACTCCATGGCCTGTATGTAGCCCGCCAGGCTCCTCTGTCCATAGGATTTTCCAGGCAAGAATACAGGATTCTTTTCTGGAATACAGGTTGCCATTTCCACCAGGGAATCTTCCTGACCCAGATCGAATCTGCGTCCCATGCATCTCCTGCATTGGCACCTTCTGCATTGGTAGGTGGATTCTTTACCACTGGGCTACCAGGGAAGCCCTAATCTGGCAGGCAGATTTTTGACTATTGTGGGAAGCCCAAAATAGATAGATGGTAGATAAATAGCACAGTGGCTGTGACGGTGCAGGAGCGTGGCCGAGAGGAGCTCCCCCGTGTCCAAGGTAAGGAGCACCGGCTGCGCTTTGCTGGAGCAGCAGTGAAGGGATACCCCACAGCCAAGGTAAGAGAAGCCCAAGTAAGACAGTAGCACTGAGAGAGGGCATCAGAGGACAGACAGACTGAACCACAATCACAGACAACTAGCCAATCTGATCACGGGACCACAGCCTTGTCTCACTCAATGAAACTAAGCCATGCCGTGTGGGGCCACTCAAGACGGACGGGTCATGGTGGACAGGTCATGTGGTCCCCTGGAGAAGGGAATGGCAAACCACTTCAGTATTCTTGCCTTGAGAACCCCATGAACAGTATGAGAAGGCCAAATGATAGGATACAGAAAGAGGAACTCCCCAGGTCGGTAGGTGCCCAATATGCTACTGGAGATCAGCGGAGAAATAACTCCAGAAAGAATAAAGGGATGGAGTCAAAGCAAAAACAATACCCAGTTGTGGATGTGACTGGTGATAGAAGCAAGGTTCGATGCTGTAAAAAGCAATATTGCATAGGAACATGGAATGTTAGGTCCATGAATCAAGGCAAATTAGAAGTGGCCAAACAGGAGATGGCAAGAGTGAACATCGACATTCTAGGAATCAGTGAACTAAGATGGACTGGAATGGGTGAATTTAACTCAGATGACCATTATATTTACTACTGTGGGCAGGAATCCCTTAGAAGAAATGGAGTAGCCATCATAGTCAACAAGAGAGTCTGAAATGCAGTACTTGAATGCAATCTCAAAAACAACAGAATGATCTCTATTCATTTCCAAGGCAAACCATTCAATATCACTGTAATCCAAGTCTATGTCCCAACCAGTAATGCTAAAGAAGCTGAAGTTGAACGGTTCAGAAGACCTACAAGACCTTCTAGAACTAACACCCAAAAAAGATGCCCTTCATGCCTTAGAAGATACGACAAGAGGTGCCCACATACGGGACTGGAATGCAAAAGTAGGAAGTCAAGAAACACCTGGAGTAACAGGCAAATTTGACCTTGGAGTACAGAATGAAGCAGGGCAAAGGCTAATAGAGTTCTGCCAAGAGAATGCACTGGTCATAGCAAACACCCTCTTCCAACAACACAAGAGAAGACTCTACACATGGACATCACCAGATGGTTGACAGTGAAATCAGATTAATTATATTCTTTGCAGTCAAAGATGGAGAAGCTCTATACAGTCAGCAAAAACAAGACCAGGAGCTGACTGTGGCTCAGATCATGAACTCCTTATTTCCAAATTCAGACTGAAATTGAAGACAGTAGGGAAAACCACTAGACCATTCAGGTATGACCTAAATCAAATACCTTGACTATACAGTGGAAGTGAGAAATAAATTTAAGGGACTAGATCTAATAGACAGAGTGCCTGATGAACTATGGATGGAGGTTCATGACACTGTACAGGAGACAGGGATCAAGACCATCCCCATGGAAAAGAAATGCAAAAAAGCAAAATGGCTGTCTGAGGAGGCCTTACAAATAGCTGTGAAAAGAAGAAAAGCAAAAAGCAAAGGAGAAAAGGAAAGATATTCCCATTTGAATGCAGAGTTCCAAAGAATAGCAAGGAGAGATAAGAAAGCCTGCCTTAGCAATCAATGCAAAGAAATAGAGGAAAACAATAGAATGGAAAAGACTAGAGATCTCTTCAAGAAAAGTAGAGATACCAGGGAACATTTCATGCAAAGATGGGCTCAATACAGGACAGAAATGGTATGGACCTAACAGAAGCAGAAAATACTAAGAAGAGGTGGCAAGAATAGACAGAAGAACTGTACAAAAAAGATCTTCATGACCCAGATAATCACGATGGTATGATCACTCACACTCAGCTAGAGCCAGACATCCTGGAATGTGAAGTCAAGTGGGCCTTAGGAAGCATTACTATGAACAAAGCTAGTGGAGGTGATGGAATTCCAGTTGAGCTATTTCAAATCCTGAAAGATGATGCTGTGAAAGTGCTGTACTCAATATGTCAGCAAATTTGGAAAACTCAGCAGGGGCCACAGGACTGGAAAAGGTCAGTTTTCATTCCAATCTCAAGAAAAGGCAATGCCAAAAAATGCTCAAACTACTGCACAAATGCTCAAACAATTGCACTCATCTCACACGCTAGTAAAGTAATGCTCAAAATTCTCCAAGCCAGGCTTCAGCAATACATGAACCGTGAACTTGCAGATGTTCAAGCTGGATTTAGAAAAGGCAGGAGAACCAGAAATCAAATTTCCAACATCTGCTGGATCATCAAAAAATCAAGAGAGTTCCAGAAAAACATCTACTTCTGCTTTATTGAGTATGCCAAAGCCTTTGACTGTGTGGATCACAATAAACTGTGGAAAATTCTGAAAGAGATGGGAATACCAGACCACCTGACCTGCCTCTTGAGAAACCTGTATGTAGGTCAGGAAGCAACAGTTAGAACTGGACATGGAACAGACTGGTTCCAAATAGGTAAAGGAGTACGTCAAGGCTATATATTGTCACCCCGCTTATTTAACTTATATGCAGAGTACATCATGAGAAACACTGGGCTGGAGGAAGCACAAGCTGGAATCAAGATTGCTGGGAGAAATACCAATAACCTCAGATATGCAGATGATGCCACCCTATGGCAGAAAGTGAAGAAGAACTAAAGAGCCTCTTGATGAAAGTGAAAGAGAAGAGTGAAAAAGTTGGCTTAAAACTCAACATTCAGAAAACTAAGATCATGGCATCCAGTCCCATCACTTCGTGGCAAATAGATGGGGAAACAGTAGAAACAGTGTCAGACTTTATTTTTCTGGGCTCCAAAATCACTGCAGATGGTGATTATAGCCATGAAATTAAAAGACACTCCTTGGAAGGAAAGTT